AAGTGATAAGCTTCAACTTGACGTTGAGACTTTTTCAAATTGTTATTTCGTTGCCGCGAAAAACGCCTTTTGTCGGAACGGAAGGCAAAACGGCTAGGTCATTTTTAGCTAACTTATTCATTATCGACTCAAAAATTATAAAATTCAAGCGATATATGTTCTAAGACGCCAGGAATTCGATAGGCATGCTTGCAGAAATGGTAGAGGAGCTTCAGAGGGGTTTTGAGAGGTTGTGAAACGATTTTCAACCTTTTTTCCTGCTATTAAAGGGTAACTGCTATCGCCACAGATAGCAGTAACTGCTATCACCACAGATTCATGCTATATCGATGCACATTCTGTGAAATTTCAACGAATCTGAAGCTTTCGGAAATTTCGGAAACTCATTACACTGAACATAGCTCTCGAAAAAATCGCCTCGTTTGGGAAAAAACTCTTCTGCGCCAAAAGACTTGATCGGAGACGAACTCTTTTTACAAATAGATAGCTAGAAGCGTCCTGATTCCAAATAACACCTTTCGAAAGTTTAAATGTAATTCAGGTCAATAAAAAATTAATTTTACATTCGCGTTAGCGAACGATTGTTAAAAAAGCCGTTTAAACGCGTTTTTCGTCGTTCAAAATTTTAGAATAACGCGTTCTTCGACAACGTATTTGCTAACGATCGTTCAATTAACCGTTTTCTGGCGTTTTTGTTGAACTCGTTTTCTAACGACGTTACTTGGAACTTTTTCTTTTTGTAAACGCGTTCAGAAACAGCACGTTAAAACGCGTTTCAGCGACCATTTTAACGTCGTTAGAAAACGCGTTCAACAAAAACGCCAGAAAACGGTTAATTCAACGATCATTAGCAAATGCGTTGTCGAAGAACGCGTTATTCTAAACTTTTGAACGACAAAAAACGCATTTAAACGGCTCTTTTAACAATCGTTCGCTAACGCGTTCGAAAAAAACGTGTTTTTCGTGCTGTTTCTGACGATTTTTTCTTGAAATTGAAAGTTTTCGTTAAGTACTCATTTTATTGCTCTCCATTAGTTTATTGTTTTCAAACGAATAGATTAAAAAAAACGCGTTTAAACGACAAAAAAAAGCGTTGATTTTGAAACCTTTAACGCGTGTTTTGGTCGTTAGAAAAGAAAAAGCATTTTATTGTCAGCTTTTTTACCTACCCCTGGGACATTCCTCGTTCGAAACAAAAATTTTTACGCCATTGGATAACCCATCTATCAAAGTATATTTACCACTATTTTAATTTTAAAACGCACTTTCGATTTTTCGCGAAATATCCGCCTGGATGCATAACACATCTGGAATGAGCTATGAATTTGTAATCTTAGTTAAAAACAGTAACTAATACTACACTCAAACCAACAAAAATCGGAATTCTAGTTGTGTAAAAGGCTTCTGAACATTGTTTTGCTTACGAAAAGACGTGCCTATATCAATTAGCGTGAACCGTGGCTCTCTATCATTTTCTATACATGTTACTCGAAAAACAGTCAATGGCCTTTGATTTTATAACGCATAGTAGGTAGTAACGATACCCCGACATTCTTCGTATTTTTGATTCCAACGATATCCCGGTTTGCAACCTTCAACACAGATATAACTTCCTAGAATGAAAGGTTCAATAATAGATTAGTTTACTTCATTAATAACCTAAAAGCTAAACTACCAGGTATGTTTTCACACTTCATTGTTTTTGCACAAGGATTTGTTAAACACTCATCAATATCTCGACATTGTTCTTCGTCACCGAGTTCAAATCCCGAATCACAGATTAATGATTTTGCTTTTTTACAACAATTCTGAAATTGTTCACCGCATCCTTCTTCCAATACATTCAACGGTTCACAGTCCTCTTTGTCTCTTCCAGCTTTCACACCCAATTCACAACACGTACAACACATCTACAAATAGACAATAGAATGACAGTAATAACAAAAAATGAAATATCAATTTCAACTTACCTGATGGGTATCTTTGATTACAAAACTCGTTTCATTACATGGTAGTAGTCTTAGAGCTGTTTTAACACCTTCTTCACAATATTGTATTCGTAATTTTGATAAGCAACAAATATACATTAAATATCGACAAGTACCATTTGTTTGATCTTTAATTGTAGAAATATCACACGATTTTGTTTCGGCCAAACTTTTGCCAACATCGCAACAATGTTCAGCATTATCGCGAAAAGATTCTATACAAAACAAAAACGAACATGTTGATGTCAATTACGTCTATTCAAGTTTTTGAAATTAGTAGTGATAATTAATTATAAAATTGATACCTGTTACTGATACATTAATAACAATAAAAAAGATTAACAAAGCAATAGTATTCCAACAGAAAATCATGGCAATGTTTTGAATATAGAAGTTGAAACGAGTACCTATAAACTAACTGTTATATTCGCTAAATTTACTTGTGTTTATATTGCTTTTTCTGCAATATTATCATTTTCTTCTCTTGACAGGATTAATCTCGTTGTCGATTGACAGCTTCTATGCAAGAGTTCAAATGATTGTATCATCTTATAGCTGATGTATACTAGGATATAGGAAAAAAACACAGATAATAAATGTTATTTCTTCATCTAGGCTCTCTTAGTATGTGACATTTATAGTTCTTACAAATACATAGAACTTATTACAATATGATAGCATTACTGTGTTTTGGTCATTGAGGAAGATATATTATGTAGTTATTTTGTAACAATATTTTTGAAGGCTATTATTAATTGAATAGTACACTAACAGGCAATAATAAAAAACGTAATCACTTAATGATAATGCATATTAATGGAAAAACATTGACGGGAAGATCCCTTGAAGCGTATGACAGTCACATTTTCAGTGAAATCTGTTCACGATTTTTGTAAAAAAAATGTACTAAGAGGAACAAGAGTTGCAAAATTCTTTTCTTGAGCTGTCGATGTGCTTAAAATAATTGATGAAAAATATTAGAAACTAAATATCAATTAATTCATTTTTAATATTAGATAATTGAAAAAGTATAAATAATCAGTTCTAATAAAATTCTTTATTTTCTGGTCTATTGACAATTACTATAATAATATACAATCTATTTTTTATATTCGATTGTAGTAGCCATATGCATTTAAACTCAATGAATTAGCCAACCAACAATATATTTCTGTACTAATATCTTTCTTTCTGTATTCTTTTTTTTGCACTATGATCATCAGCATCACATCACTGTAGAATAGAAATAAAGTGTTTAGAAAAACAATGTGTACATACAGAGAACGAGAGAAAAAAAATTCTTGTTCTATACAATTCCATCTGTAATAAACTTTCTATGAATGCTATAAAAATGACTCATTTTATATATATATGTACAATTGGACGAGCGATGATCATCTGAGAAGACTATGAATGAAAGAACGACTGCATATTTGTGTTTAGTGAGCAAATACGCCGATAAACAGTATTTTTGACTTTTGTTGTGATAGTCTGAACGTATTTTAATAGATTAGATTTATTAACTCTCTTATATTGTCATAAAACTATTGTTGGAAACAGTACTAAATGAAAAATACTTTCACTTCACTTTGGCGATCAGTAAGTTTTCTTTAATGTAATTCTTTTCTTTTATTATTATAATTACTTTGATTTGTAAAACAACTTGTAAGTCGTTTAAAAGTATAAAATTGTTTTTTGACAATTATTGGACACCACTCATTGAAGGCATAGTATCCATAAGGCCTTTTCTGGTTTGAAATGGTGTCCAAACGCTTGTAAACAACGCAATAGTAGACGACGATTTCACAGAAGCGCGTTCAATCGATGCTTGAAACTCGTATTTTAGCCATTTGATCGATATAAGACACGCGTTTCAAGCATGGAATGAATGCACTTCTATTTAGGCATGCAACGGTTATTTTATCGGGGCTCTCGGGAGCAGTAGTTTTAAAAATCGGAGAAACCTTTCAAAACTTTTTCAAGTCGACAGTTTTATGCAGAAATATTTGCTCTATCAAATAAGATGTTGCAGGCTTTCTCACGATGATTCGTAGATGAGATACAAAGCTTTTTGTTAAAAAAGGGACCGATTATTAACCGGCGGTTATCACTGGTCCTATTTTAGAGAAAAAAAAAAGTAATTTCGCAGCTACGAAGCGTGGTGAGAAAGCCGGCAACAGCTAATTTGATAGGGCAAATATTAATCCATAAACGG